TGCCCAAAAGCAATTTCCCAGAATTCAGATGACCTCAAAGGTACTGTCCCGCATTTCACTTTACAAGGTGTGGCTGGGATTGCCAGCTGATCGCCAAACCCATTTCCTCTTCTTTCTAGACACACAGCTGGACTGTATATCCCAGCCTCCCCTGCAGTTAGGCTTAGCCACATGACTGAGCTCTAGCCAATGGAATAGGAGCAGAAATGACAGAGATAGTTCCTGGAACCAGACCAAACCTTCCACTCAGTATCTTCCATGGCCTCTTCCCCTCCACCAGCTTCTTGTAAGATGAGCATGTATTCAATCATGTTGAAAATGGCTGAATCACAACGTGGAAGGAACCTGAGTTCTTAAATCACCAATTGGAAGACAGAGGCTCACTGACCATTAATACCATTTTGTATGCAATGAAAACAAGAAATAAACTTAAATTGGTTTGAGCCATTAAGATAATGTTTCAACAGCTAGTGTGATCTTAATTAAAAAAAAAAAAACTGAACTTGAGGGACATGCAAATACCTTAGATCTAATGGAAACATTTCTCCTCCTTCAAATTTTGATCAGGTCCACTTAGATATATATCTAACAATTGAATCAGACTCAGTACGTCTTGGGTCTCATAAAATCTATCATACAGACCATAGCACGAGAAATTCTAGACTCCTTGCCTCCATTCCCCCAAAGCCCCTCCTTCCTGTCCATGCCCCAGAGATCACTCATCAACTGTTACTTCTATGCATCTTTCCTTCTGCCACTACCCCCTACACAAGAATTCTTATTTCGAGGATCAGCTCAGAAACTAGAGCAAACTCTCTAAGAGGGGCACTAACAGGCCACATTCAGCCACTTATTACCCACCAATTCTGTCGCCCGTCTGATACCTATCTCCCGTACACAGTCCCTATGGCACACCTATGACAAACCAGTGCTTTCCCAGATCTTAGAACATTATCAGTGCCAGAAAGATGTTTAAGATAATCAACAAGGGTCTCTACTTGCCCTACCAGCCTAACCTCAAAATGCCCCCATAGAGTAGTACAGATTCTATGGTACGCCTCTAGATTCGTCTGGACTCAGGCAAGACAGAGAGGCTTACGTTGTCCTGTATCACTCATTGTCCGAAGGTCACCAGGGGATACAAAATCCCAGGCACTTCCGGTTCTCTAAGCGTGCGTGGGGCAAAGAGGCTCCAGTAGCATGAGCGCAGCTACCCTAGAGAGCCCCGGCCACTTAGAAAGAAAAGCACACAGGTAAGGTTAGGGTGCCCAGGGAAGGGGACTCACTGGCCTTTGGGCAGAGAGAGAGCACCAACAGCGTCCACCAGAGGAGAGTTGACTAATTCCTTTTCTGTGCACCAAATCACAACCTGATGTCCTTGAATATCACCACACAAAGCAGGGTGATTCTAACAGTTTATGGATCTGTCTCCCACTAAGACCAAACTGTTCACTGAGGCCCAGGGACAGCATATAATCTGCCTGAATACAGCTAGTTCCATGATATAAATAGAACAGGTGTTCAGTTATGGTGTGCTGAGTGACTATAGATTGTTAAAGGTGAGAGCACACAGAGATTTCCTTGGTCTGATACTAACTGTAAAGTTCACTGTCACTTTGGTAAGACCAGCCCTATCGTGGCTGATAATTCCCTCAGAAGCCTCCCTTCTCCTCACTAGGAATATTATTGCATAAGCAATAAGCCACATCTGCTGATTTATATCCTGGAAGGAAATACAATGACCACCTTGCAAATCTCTCATTGTCTACAAAGTTATGGCATTCAAATCCCACTTTCCTAAACCAAGAAACCTAGTCTACTAGAGTGCTTTGTGTACTTTTTGGGCAAACAGTACAGTCTAAAACAGAAGCAAATGTGTTAACAGATACAATAGATTATAGTATTTTTTAAGAGAGAACAAAACATACATACACACATACATACATAAAAATAAAAAGAGAGGAAACAGAAAATCTTCAACTTTTTTATTGTCCTTAAAATGACTGTTCACATTGTTCCACAAGTAAGAGAAGAAAATACAATGACCGTTTAGATATAAAACGCATAAAGCAAGAACACCTTTCTTCGAACCAGTGGGGGCACTGCCACCGGTGACAAGAATGTTGCTGCATGAAAAATCATATTCTTCCTTAACTTAATATGCAACTGAGATGTTATGTTAAAAATATCAGGAAAGAAGCCCATCAAATGCTAAGTGGTTATAGAAATACTAAGAGGATAAATGTATTTAGAAAGGGGGTAATCTAAGGGATGAAGGTTAATGCAGAGGTCAACAGCCCACAGAACAAAGAGTCTGCCTTTCCTGATTCTGGGATACTCAACAAAGCAATTTCAAACCTCTCTCCACTTCTTTGGCATGAGCATAACCCGTGTGGCAAGCCATCATTCCTTGTTGCTTTTTAGTGATGCTCCAGGGCTAAAGAAGATAAAATTTATGTGCTATGCTTTAAGCTCCATTGAGGAAAGGCACTGAACAAACTTCAGGATAATTTACGAATCCTGAGCTTGCATCAGTCATGTCCAAGTCCATCTCATAAAAGGAAAAAAGGGAAATAGGAGGCCAATGCTGTGCGGCTGGTGAAAAGCTGAACAAACTTTGGGCAATGGTGATAAGCTCAAATAATACCACTTTATATACATAAAATCCTTGACTAATCTGGGAGAATTTTCAAAAAAAAAAACCAAAAAACAAAAAAACAAAAAAAACCCTAACTCCTTCCAACACCCAGACAGTAGTCCGTTGGCAGAACATCTGGTATATGAATCAGAAAAGTATGTGACAGCAGTCCTAGTCTGTGATCCAGTATCTAATTTCCTTTTGACTTACCATAATTATTTTTGTAAAACTTTATGGCTCTACTCCAGTGGATGTGCTTAGCCAGGATTGCCCAAATCCTGTCTTCCCTTCCACACCATATTCTTAGGCCAGCTTCTCCCTACTTTTTTACCTTTCCTTCCACTTGCGTTTTACCTTCTTCCCTCTACCACTTACTCAGTGTCTTCCTTTAGCGATCTGTATTGAAGAAAGGGAACGAGAGTGTCATCTGAAAATTTAAACAATGAGCATGTATTTGGAAATCCAATCCTACCGGAAATTTGTTCTAGCTAGTATTGAGGATTTGGTATCACTGCTTTGGGGTTATTTTGTTTTAATAATGACCATCGTATCTACAATTTTCAGGATAACTGACATATCAAGGAAAGTTAATCAGGACAAGGCAGTCACACTGTTTAGAAATTGTAGGGCCCCAGCTGACCAACCAGCTGTCCTCAATCAACGACTGACTGACAGATGCCCATTTCCAAAGTCTTAATCTTATGCTTTTATCAAACACTTTCTCTGACCTGCAGGAATGTGTTTATTGGGAGTTTAAAAAGAGAAATCTAGAAGGAAAATGCTATCCATAAAAGCATAAGAAACCTCAGCTGATTTTAAATGTCCAAGTACCGGGATAAAACAAGGAGCATCTTGTATGTCTAAACCAAATCAGAATGATTCCTCCAGAGAAAAGGCATGTACTCTCCTAGCAGCCCTAGCCTAATTCCCCCTTGTTTTTAAAAATATGAACTAAGGTCGCATTAAGCCTTAGTTAAAAGGAGGAAAAAGTAGCTGCCCTTCAAAGTTCATTCATTCGGAGAGGAGGTCAAGGGGAAAATCACTCTCCTCTAAAGCAGTGTAACTGTTTTCCTCATGATGAAGCCCCTGCATTTTTCTCCCTTCAGAAGTTCCCACGGTTTTGAAAAGACATGGCACACACTTACATTTAAAAAATAAAAAGGACAACAGATCACAGGGGTGCAAAATGGCCTCCCATGGTTAGTCTGAATTTGTCCTTTTGCTTTTGAGATTTTCTTATTGGCCAAAACTGCATACACAATGAATAACGCAAAGGGGTGACAGCTATTTTAAGAAACTGGAAATGCCAGTTTAAGGCCATCACAATTTTATCACACACACACACACACACACACACACACACACACACACACTAATAAGAGATGGAGGAGTTCACTTGAAAGCATAAAGTCCTGAGGATCAAAAACTTAGTCCTGCTCTTCCTTACAGGCTATTTAGAAGGCCTGGACAGTGAAAATTACGCTTATTTGGACTATGCAGGGAATTCTAAATTTAATCAATAAATTCTAAAATGTCTTCAATCAAGAAATTTTTCAAAAAGCTTTTTTCAAAGAGTGGTAACATTAACTGAGGCAAAACACAAGGGTACTTTCCACCCACACCTCAATGTGGTATTTGTTGCTTTGTGCTAAAGGGGAATGAAAGCCGTAACATTCCTAATGGAGAATCAGAAAATCATTCTCTCAATGCCTGCTCATTTCAGAAACAAAAAAAGTGCACATATATGAGGGTAATAAGACAAGTAAGAATTGGACTAAAGAAAAGTGTCTGGCAGACAGACATAATCATTGAGGCTTGGGCAAAAGAGATCAAATGGTGGAGATTTCATCTCCTCGTGTCCCTACTGTTATGTGACGAGGAGTTTTGACTTCTTCCGGGCCTTAAAGACACAACTTTTTTTTTTCTATTTGATAAACTGAAATCCTTTCTCAAGTAGCCTTTTGGCCAGCTTTGTTCATGCTGATGGGAACAGGGCAATCAGCTACATCAGATATAAGCTGCGAGATGCGTTTTCATCCCAACAGACTTCCAAACTGAAGGCAAAAATTTCAGCAAAAATTGTAAAATGAAGCTTCAACACATTTCTAACTTAACTACCATAGAGTTAATAAACACTGTGGATGACGACACATAAAGCCTAGCACCGTGTTCTATAGAGCAGTAAGACCTACCAGGTATTCCAGGAACATGTCTTCATCACTGAGGGTTACACATTTAATAGACGGAATTTTTTTCTGGATACATTCTACTTAGTCCCCCTGCGAAGCTGTGGCTTAAAACGGTATCTACCATCCAGCTGTTTACACACTAAAAATGGACAAGAGCAACAATCCAGCAGATCATGTTTTAACAAAAGGGGCCTAGAGATTTATTTTTGTTAGTTTGGTTTTGTAAAGAAACATACTCGGATCCCTTCTCGGATTCCATTTTTTTGAGCCCTACAATTTGAATATACTGTTTAGATCCAACCAACACCCAAATAAGGAAGATGCGCTAAAAACAGGAGTCCTGGGGGGCGGGGCGGGGAATATAGGCTGAAAGCAGTGGCGATGAGCACTCCGTGTGGCCTCTACTGGTACTGCATGGCTCTCGGGCCGGCATACACCAGGGTTCCAGCTACCAGAGCCGGCAGGAGTCCAGGCCTCTGTTCATCGTGGAATTCAGTGGACAGTTAAAGGCTTTCTGGAATTCTTCGAAGTTGCTAACTGCACCATTGACCCTGGAAAAGATATGTCACAGCTCATGTCATTTAATTCTTCCATCTCAACAGGTTCTGGATAAAACTAGCAGCATATTGCTCACAGGGATGTTGCATTCATTTCATCTTTTTACAGGGGAGACGACTGAAGCCCAAATGGGAGAAGTAAATTTCCAAAGAAATTCACAGAGCTGAGACTAGAACCAGCATCTCCTGAATGCCAGGCAAATGTTCTTATTAATCTTCCCAATACCCTCAAATTCCTATAAACTGTAGGATTTACAGTTCCTATAAATCATGTATATGACTGTATAGTCCTATAAATTTACAGATTCCTATAAATTGTTAGATTTACCAATACTTAGGCTTTCTATTTTTTTAACTTTTATGGGAGGTATAACTGATATAAAGTGCACACACCTAAAATGTAAAGCTCATTGATTTTGTTCAAGTGTATATACCACCCAGAACAAGACATGGGATATTTCCAGCACCTAGAAGGCTCCACAGTGTGCCCTACCAGTGGAACTTCCAAGGATAACTACTAGTCTGACCTCTATCACCATAGATTAGTTTTGCCTGTTTTTGAACTTCCTATCAATGGAATCACACAGTATGCACTCCTGTTGTTCCTGGCTTCTTTCACTCTGTAAGATTCATCCCTGTCGTTGCTACCTAAGACCTCATCCGACCTACAAAAATACTTCCGCTTAATTCCCATTATGCTTGAAGGTTCATATTTACCTAGAATTTGGTCCACGCAACAAACTAATGAATGGTGTCTACTCGTTATTGTGTTATTGATGAGGACTGTTTTACTGGAGTTAGTTCCAAAATCTGGTGTCCTTGCACGTTCCCTGACTGCAGTAAAGACTGTGGATTCCTACTCAGCACTTTGGTTGGCAGTGGTATTTCCATTGTGTGATTTCTGCTGTACTCAAAATCTATAGTTACTGCAGACATCACTAACAAGCCAGCAAAAACTGCCCCCTCATCTATTTCTTACTCAACTGCATATTCAAAGGGTTGACTAGAGAGACTCAGCGTTCTTAGTTACTATTTCTTCCCTAATGACTCTGTCACCCACGGGCATGTGAAGGAATATACTGGCTTGTATTCAAACCTCTTGTGTTTTAGCTGGGATATATGAGTAGGGATGCATATTTCATAGTGTGATTCACCCTGGGCAAATGTTAAAGAGAATTTAGCTGATAATTAGTAAGTATACTCTGCAAATTATCAGCTAAAATCCAACATTACAGGTAACTAGTTAGTAAAAGGAAATTAGTTTCTAAAATCTTATCTGTTAAGTAATTAATCTACTGTGTGGTTTCTATCTGCACCATTCATCAGTGGGAGCATATTTTAGTTCATTAGAGACTGTCAGCATTTTTTGACAGTTTAGCCCAGTGGGGGAGAATTTTCTAACACTGTGATTAGATTTTTATGCTACTCAGTAATTTAGAGTCAGTTTCCGAAACATTTCTAAAGCAAGGCTTTAGGAATAAGATTTTTAAATATAGGAGAAATTTTAGATGATTTTCCTACACTGTGCTGATGGATTCATTTAAACATTAAACATAAAGATATCCAGATATAATATGCTCCAAGGAAAGAATCAGTCAATAAAAATTACTATAGTTTCTTATATATCCCATTATAATTCTCTGACCCCAACTATAGAAAATCTCCCTCAAACTGGGCTAGAAACCTAGCACTGGGTAAGTACACTAACCTTAATTTTATTTTTACTTGTTATTTTGTACATTCTGACAATTAAACAAGATTATAATTCATAATCCTTTTCCCTTCATTTGAAGCAACTGTTTCAAAAAATGATTCAAACTGAAAACCAAAACATAGCGCTTTGACTTCAGATATGAATTCTAATAGCTAAATATCACCATATATCCTTTTGTGTTCAGAGCTATTTGGGAAGCAGGCATTCATTCATGTCTGCCAGTTGGCTATGTGAAAGAACAAGAGGTATTTAACAGGATATTCTAGAACACAAAATACACCAGAGCTCTAGCTCTATGTGTTTTAAGGCACAGTATGTAAGGTCCCATCCTTGTCTAAGGAAAGAGACATTTTTGGCCCCCACACACAAAAAAGTAGGTGGTTGGATAAATCAAATAATTCCATTTACTGAGCACCCATGGTGCTCATGGCACCCCTGGACTGAGGCCTTTCAAAAACTGGAAGATAATAAATGGGAATTAATACTAAAGCTTTGATTTGGATTCTAAAGTACCTTTGGAGTCTATACTATCTCATGGATCTCTTGATATAGCACTGGACTAGAGGCATGCATCAATGCCTACCAGAGACTTTTTTTTTTAGAGAATTCTGACTAAACTAGATTCCTACTAGTGAAAGAAAAGGTGCTCAGTTTCTGTTTGGCCAGATATTTCTGTCTGCAAAATGGAGATATCGTTGTTCACAAGACAGGCTTTTGTTCCGATCTCCCATTTGGTATAGCACAGGGATGGCTGAGTCGGGGAGGAGGTGGGAGACGCACACTTAAAAATGAGGGTCACCAATTTGCCCATTTACCTAAACTGAGGGGGGCTGTGAGCACCAATTTGGATTTGTTCTCGGGCAGCTTCTGGTCTGTAGGAATTGCACCTCACCTAGAAGAGAAAAGCACGCCAATAATTATGTTTCCTTTCCAATTACACTTTCTACCGCCTTAACTGCTCCAAATTATACTGAAGAGTAATTTTAGACTCAGTGGATGACAAACAGTTTCAGTAGATCAGATAAAACTTTCATCAGTGGCAACATCTATTATTCTAATCCCCAGAGTAGAAGGTTTTATTGTGTGCATAATTCCACAATTTGAGTAAATTAGGATGGTTTCCAGACAAATTTCTTAAATCAAGAGAACAGTGTATATGCCCAGGAGTCGGCCAATGTATCAATTCAAATAATATAATGCTTGGAAGAGCCCTTATCAAATTCAGTCATACTCCAACAGGAAAAAATGAACCCATCATTCATTACTGAGTATGGTCATGGGATGTGAGTATTTTGCACCCTAAGTGCCTTGCTTGCATCACCCCTAGTCAAGGCCTTGGATAGGAGGACACTTCTCCATAGACTTTGAAGTTAGGCAAAGCTCTATGACTTGCTCTGATCCGTGAAATGTGAGCAGAAGTGATAGACGGCACACCCTTGTGGAAGCTTTAAAAAACCTAGCATAAGTTTTAAGCATCTTAAGAGCAATTTAAGATGCCACATGAAGGTCCACTGTACATTTCCTCATATCACTTTCCTACTCCAATGGTGAACACGTGAGCACGTGTTGAGATCAAGACTCCAAAACCCAAGTCCTTGAGTAGTAACTATGAGTAGAGCACCACTCTCAACCCACACTAGACAGACGGGGAGCATGAACACAAAAGAAACTTTGTATTGTTTGCTCCTGCACTGTAACCTACTCAATCCTGACTTGCAATGTGTCCGGAAACATGATATAGTCTTGAAGTAGGAAAAGAACTAGGAGACATGAAATGATGGGGCGCATTCCAAGTGCAGGAGAAAATGGAAGCAAAGACCGGAGAGAAAAAAAAAAAAAAACAAGACATTTAGTGTAACTGGACTGTGTGGTGCATGATGGGCAGTGATGGGAGACCCGGGGGGGGAGAGGACGGTGCCAGACTTCTGAAGTCTTGAGCAACAAGTTAAAGAACTTAAACTATATTTAAACATTGTTTGTGAGCAAGAAAATGATGAAATCGTGTTTTTAAAAGAATTATCTGGCAAGAGTGCATAGTACTAAGAGGAAATTAGAGATCAGTTCGAAGAGTATTTATGGGCCTCAGAAAGGTTTCCGATGAGTGGCCACTAAATAAGGATAAAGAGGAATGGAGAGAAGAAGGATGAGGAGAATATCTGAGGAAAAAAATTAACAGGTCACAGAAACTACAGGGACACAGGAAGCAGAAAAGGTAGCATGATGTTATTGCTTTTGCTGAAGATAAACAGTCCGAATGTGACTGGGAAGACATTTTCATGATGTGATTCCTTAATTTCCTCAGAAGCTAGCTAAATTGAAGTTGTTTCTGACATTCGCCATTACCTCATTTTTTCTTGTGTTATTTCTTCTTATATTCTTACATCATTATATGGTATTGTTCTAGTACTGCCTTTGCTTCATAAATCATTTAAGAGACCTCTGAAAACACATTAGGGTTGTTACTGTTTTCCTAGAATCTTCTCAGGAGGGAAAATAACTTTACTCCCTATAGGCAGACTTCTTCCAATGTGCAAAAGACTGAAAAATCTCCTTCTGTCAGTAGGAAAACCTCCAAGATAAATTTCTCATTAGTAACATAAAATAGCTTTCCATCTTTTCCTAAATCTCTTTAGTTTAAAATAAATCAGATATGCTTTGGGATTTTATCTGAAAACATTTCAAAAATTATGAAGGTAATGTTGCTACTAGTTTACTTCATGCACAAAAAGACATGGTGGACTCGGATGTAAATAAGATGGACTTTAATTAAGTTAACAACCAAAGGAAGAACCAGTGGATGTTGTACTTTGTCCTCTTGATCAAGAGTCAGCAAACTTTTTCTGTAAAAGGACAGACATTAAATATTTTAGTCTTTGCACACCAGAAGATCTGTTTCAACTACTCAATTCTGCCACTGTAGCACAAAACCAGCCACCCACAACACAAAGGAAAGACCTTGGCTGTTTTCCAATAAAAGAGTTTTTACAAAAATGGACAGCAGACCATATCTGGCCCATGAGTCCTAGTTTGCCAGCCCTGCTCTAGAAAATTCTAACTGTATTGTGTGTGCTTATTTGAGATATCTGACCCAGTCCTGATTCCCCCCTCTCCAAAAAAAAAAAAAAGAAAGAAAAAAAAGTCTCCTTAACGGAACTCTTACCTAGTCTTATCCCTTTTAAGCAATTCATCTAAAAATGTCAAGCATCTTCAATATACCCAGCATCTTTGCTGGGTGCTATGGAGATACATAATAGAAGGATCCAGAAGATTAGCTATGGAGATAAAACTAAAAGTCCTCAACATTTTGAGAACAATTAAGGACTCAACTGCATAGTAATGAAGAGAAGTGTAAAGGAGTTGGAGATTCAAAAAAGAGAGAGAAAAAGAGAACTGGAGTCCTTGGGGAAGTTTGTGGAAAATGTGGAGGAGGTGGGACTCGACATGGAGCCTGAAAGATAAAGACAGGATTAAATCGTCTGAGGGAGAGGAGTATGAAGGAGGTCACATTATAGAAGGAAAATCCAAAGCAAAGCCCCAGGGACAGTAATAGGCCTAACACTGCGGGGTGGCCATGAGGACGCCTGCCTGGCTAAGGGCGAGCATGGTAGAGCCTCAGAGCTGGTTGCGTAGAGGGGGATACGACTGGACAGAATGATGAGAGCCAGCTGCACGTGTCCGGCCTCCATGTGGTAGGCACTTGGGAGTCACTGCAATTCCCTGAGCTGGTCAGTAATGAAATAAAAGTGCTGTTTCACAGGGGCATGTAAGATAGTGGTGGAAAGATGCCAAAGGCAGAAAAACGTGCCTTAAGGCTGTTGGGATAATCCAGAATAGGAGAGATCAAGGGCTGTTCTACAGAGGATGAGATATAAGGTAATGGGGAGAAAGAGAGGATGAATCTAAAGAGAAGTTAAAAGGATGAAACATCTGGCTTTGGGAACCCATGTCATAAAAACGAGGATAGACAAATCAAGTAAGAGCGAAGAATCTAGATTTTCTAACCAGGAAGACCCAAAGAATGGGGTGTGTTGATAGCAACAGGAAAACGAAAAAGGGAGGTCATTTTGGTGACTCCAGTTTTGCTGATGTCATGTTGATAAATGATCACTAATTTAGTGTTGCCATGTCAGCTTTAAGAAATAAAAGATCCCAGAAAGGTAAGAATCCTTTAGCCAGGCTCAACCAAAGAAGATATGGGAAGGAATCAGCTTACTGAGGAGCCAATGCAAAGACTGAGCAAAAGAAGGCTGTGCTGGTAACAACCATTGTCTTATAGACACACATTTGCCCACTGTGAAGCCATGCGTTAGAACCTTCATCGACCCATCCCTGCCTGCTTTGAAAATGAGGCCTACACGTTTGTGACATAAGCCAGGGCAATAACCAATAGCAACCAAGAACTGGCGCTTGCCTCATTAGCCAGAGACTTGAACTGAGAATTGTGTCTTTTTTAGTACACATCTTTCACTTTCTGCTCAGAAAGCCCATCAAACTCACAAAAGGGTGAGATGACTTTCCTTGCTTTTGTTGCTGTTTTCAGCTCTAGCAGTCTTCACATACACATCTGACAGTGGAAAACATAGCTTTGAGGGTCCCCCACAGGTTGAAAGTGGTGAGATACAGTCAGCCAATGAGGCAAAAAAAGGAGAAATGCAGCAAAAGGCAGAGCCACAAAAGCCAAAGACGGAATCACTAGAAATGGTTATAAAGTGTAGTGCATACATTAAGAAGTCAGCATATATTAAAGATATACCAAGTGGGTTATGATAGGCTGGTAACCCACTTGACAAACAACACCAGTAAACCCTCACTCAATCAGTTAATTAATTATGTCCCATAGAACACTAAGAAGGTGAAATTTACCCTGAAAATAAACAGCAAGATAATATTTCAGCTAAAATCAAAGATATACCACTAAACTTTTGACCATGGGAGCAAGCCGAAGTCCCACATTTCATCTCTGATGCCCCTTCCTTGGCCTACTCACGTGAGCATAACTCAGGAAGAAGAGCTGGTTGTTGGTGAAGATGATGCCTGGTAGGAGAGGCTCCTCAACTCCCTGCCTCTTGTCATTTATCCATTTCCTGTAGGCCTGGTGAGAGAAGCAGAATGGATGATCCTCTGCAATAGTGGCCCTTCCTCTTTTCTCACCCAGGGCAAAGATCCTAAATATATCCTCCACCATGTACCAGCCTATCAAGTTTTCCTTCCTTTAACAAAACCAGCCCCTGGAAGTGCCAAACATTGCTTTGTTGCTTAACAGCAAGGCAGGTTCACCTGTAAAAAAACCTTACACTCAATAGATACCAGGGCCGCTAGGCCAAAGCATTCACATGTTACATAACTCCTCCTCCCCCAAAAAGCTATTCTTTCTCTGACACAATGGCGAGGACTATGGAAATAAATTTGGGGGTCAACATATTGGCGCCAAATTTTTATTTTTCCAAATAAAAGGGAAAACTGTCATCTTCAATCACCATCACTTTATAAAATATATGTTAACCAGAAGACAGGAAGGATGTAACCTCAGAATAACAGCCTGGTCTTTACATTAAATGCATTTACCTTTATGAAAATCTTTCCACATCGTCCTTACATTTCTTGTTTAACCAAGGACCAGTGGATGATGAAAACATTATTACAGACTCTTACCTGGCCCACTATATGAGAACCACTAGCCTCTGGCCACAATTTAGAAGTTTGGTATTTTAAGAGAAAATTGCAAGAAGGGCTATAGAGACAGTGTACTCAAGGAAAACTCATATGAACGTAGCCCTGAGGAGATTTCTGTAGCATGCTCTGATATTATTGTGAATGCATCTACTGAAAACTATCCTTTAAATACATGATTCTTAACAATTATTATTCTTTAGGGACTTTACACCCCCCAAAAAAAGAAATGCAACTGTATTCATATAATAGAGTAGGACAGAGTCAACATGGAAACATAATTCTATTCACAGAAATTCACAGAACTGACAGAAATCTAACTCCTCAAGAATGTCTATAGTGTAAACTGACATGCACCCATGTGGCATTCTATAGTTTAATTTTAAAAATCACAGCAAATGTTGCAGTGCATACCCTAAAAGCTTCCCGCAGACCTCCATTATCAGCAATATTTTCTCCCAGGGTCCTCTTTCCCTTCACCTAACAGAAAGAAAAAGAAAAAAAGACTGTTTCACAGCCAAGTATCATTCAGCAAGAGGCATAAATGTGATAGCTAGAGAAAGTATCATATTTTAAAGAGCAAATTATATTCAATAAATCACAGGTAGTCATAATATATTGTGCGATGCAAACTAACTCCAGCAAGGTGCTCCTGAATATAATAATTTCTATTTTATTATGCTACGCATTTCTTTCTCACCCACCTCTGTATTCTCACCAATTTAGCCAGCCCCAATAAAATGTTAACAAATTCTGAGTGACTCTGGTTTAATGGAGAAAAAGTAGAAATGTCAATACACAGATTACTTTCTCTGATTAATTCATATCATCTGAGTATTCTTTTCAGTGTGCTTGTGTTTCCAAACATTTACGATCCACACAGGAACAAAACTTCACCAACCATCACCATTTTACCTTCAGTGACGTCCATGAAAAATTAAAAGGAGGGTAGTTCTCATGGGGGACAAAACTCAAACAGAAGTAGTGCAGGCCACAAGGTCAAGGCTTGCAACGGGTAGGATAACCAGCCAAGCATGGTGAAGAAATTCCTCCACACATTTGAAGATTGTTTCCGAAATCCCTAAATAGGCCAGGACAAAAAATACTCCAAACCAATAGAGCCTACAAGCCAGGATCCAACCCGCCCCTTGTTTTTGTACCAGCTACAAGGTGAAACTGGACTTTACATGGCTCAGTAGGTGGGGGGGGGGGGGGGAGTGAAAGAAGGGGAACATTTTGTGGCATGTGAAAATTACACGAAGTTCAAATTCAGTGTCCATAACTGGGGTTTATACTGGCACGCAGCCATGCCCATTCGTGGACGTACTGTCTGCAGCGGCTCTCCTGCTAGAGCGGTAGAGCTGAGTAGCAGCCACGGAGACCCGTGGCCCCCAAAACCACAATTACTTCCTGTAATTACCCTTTGCAGACAAAGTTTGTCAATCCCTGCCCAACGGGCAGAATAATGCCCCACCCACCCACCCAAGATGTCTAGGTCCTAAATTCCTGGAACCCGTGCAAGTGTTATCTTATGTAGCAAAAGGAACTTTTAAAATATGATTACATAAAGGATCCTGAGACATTAGCCTGCATTATCCAGGTGGGTCCAGTGTAACTAGAAGGGTCCGTATTAGGTAGAGGAAAAGGGGGTCAGGAGAGTGTGTCAGAGTGATGCAATGTGAGCTGTGACCAGCCACTGCTGGCTTTGAAGAAAGAAGGGGCCAGGAACCAAGGAATGTGGCCAGCCTCTGAAAGCGAGGAACGGCGACGCAACAGATCCTCCCCTAGAGCAGCTAGAAGGAAAAGCAGCTCTGCTTACACCTTGGCTTGAGCCCACTGAGACCTGAGTGTGACATACAGAACTGCAGAATAGGGTTTGTGTCCTTTCAGGTCATTAAGTTTGTGGTGATCTGTGACAGCAGTAACCGGAAACATGGACACCCTGCTCTCAACTTTAGAGCCATGGATCCTACCCACTCTTCACTTTTAAGCTAGGCCAATCACCCAGGTATCAAGCAATCGCAATGGATAAAAACAACTCTTCAGACAACATTTATTTCTGTAATCACCCAGGACCCGCCTAGCTTCGGTTCCCCGAAGTTCCCACTCCTGCTCTTACATACATTCCTTCTTTTATGACAGTCCTCCAAGGTAAGTGTTGTTACCACCACCTTGCTTAACACACGGGGAAAGAAGAGCTCAGAGTGTGTAGCACATGTCTTTGGTGTCGTACCAGATCCCTGTTTCTCCCAGGACTGCACACCCATTCCTACAACTGCTCCTAGCTCAAAAAGGTTAAGCTTAGCTTAGCAGAGTTGCCTCACCTGAAGTTTCCCAGCAGGTGATGTCCTACCTCTCAGGGACTGACTGATATGCACTCAGAACTGCCTAGCCCCTTACCCCAGGCTGAACAATTTCTGTGGTGCGATTCAGGCCCCAGAACCTTCTACGGGATCAGGCTGAGGCTAAACTCCTGAAACCAACATGTTTTCTCGTATAGGTTTTCTCCTGAAACCAACCACCATCTTATAGGTTTCTCCTGAAACTACTTCCTAAATAAGTCCCTTACCCAAGAAACCCCTTCTTGGGCTTTGCTTCCAGTAAACCTGACCTAAAATAGTGATTAAAGGAACTACCCACATTTCACAGGGATTCAAACCCAAGCAGTTTGTCTCCAGAGTCTTTGCTTCATAATATGCTACCTTCTCAAGTCACAACTGCTTTTTTTTTTTTTTAAAGATTTTATTTATTTGACAGAGAGAAAGACAGCCAGAGAGAGGGAACACAAGCAGGGGCAGTGGGAGAGGGAGAAGCAGGCCTCCCGCCGAGCGGGGAGCCCGATGCGGGGCTCGATCCCAGGACTCCGGGATCACGACCTGAGCTGAAGGCAGACGCTTAACGACTGAGCCACCCAGGCGCCCCTCACAACTGCTCTTGATTCTGGTGCTTCTGTTTATATCTACTCACGGTCGAATTTAATCTCCTTCTTTGTTCCTCTAAGCTTTATCAAAATCGGAGGTTTGGGGAGTAGCCTTCCCCCTCTGGCTCCTCCCACTCTAGACCACCTCAGCAGACCATATGGCCGTAGGTTTGCCTCTCAAGACTCACGAGCTGCTCACAGTCTGCTTTTGTGGCACTCTCCTGGAGCTCTCTCCAGTTCACGGCCAAGGGTTCAGGCACAGAGGACCAGCATCCACAAATGGAGCCAGAAAATAAAGCACAGCCCTTTATACCCACAAAGAAAGCACCCTTTCTCCTCTGGGAACGAGAGTGAAACTGTTTTCCGATGGCTGGCTGGCTGGATGCCGACACAGGCATCCCCTTTCTATCGTCCTTGTGACAAAGGTACACATTTGCTGGAATTTACTTTCAATATCTGACATTTTAGTCCAAGTGGATGCTGTAGAATAGTCCTCCCACCAACATACCACCTAGGAATAAAATGAACTTAAAATAAGAGAATGACAGAATGATATGGGGGGGAAGAATATGGATCTTGGGGGACACCTGGGCAGCTCAGTGGGTTAAGCGGCTGCCTTCTGCTCAGGTCATGATCCCAGGGTCCTGGGATCGAGTCCCGCATCAGGCTCCTTGCTCAGTGGGGAGCCTGCTTTGCCCTCTGCCTGAGCTCCCCCGCTTGTGTAAGCGTGCGCTCTCTCTCTCTCTGACAAGTAAATATAATCTTAAAGAAAAAGGAATATGGATATTGGAATCACACCAATCTAAATTCTAATCTAAACTTTACTGTGGGTTTTTATCTCTTTGAGCCTCAGTTTTCTTATATGTAAAATAGGCTAGCAATATGTATACCTCTCAGGACCAGAATGAGGATTAAATTTGTTTCAGGTAAGTGGAAAGTCTAACACCCAAGCCTGCAGGTAACAATCATTGGGAAATATGTATTCCCTTCATCCAAGAAAACTGCTCTTCTATTGTTTTTTGTTGTTGTTGTTTTTCAGCCCCCAAATCTTTGCCTTTGTTTTCCCCTAAGATGGGGTACCTATGAGTATGTCACAAAGTAGTAATAATATTAGCTACAATTTACTAAGCACTTACTGCATGTCAGACATGATGCTGGTGCTTTACATAATTTCAGTCATTTACTTCTTACAAATGAATGAGTTCAGAAATAGTGACCCATTTCACAGATGAAGACTCTGAGACTCAGGAATGTCAAGCAACTTTCCCATGTTCACAAAACTTATAACTGGCTGAGTCAAGATTTGAACCTCTATCTGACTCTAGAACCCCTCCCCATGCTCTTCCTGAAGCAACATATATTCTAGATGGATTTTCACAATGTGATAACCTCTGAATTGAATACAGATAAACAGGGGAACCCATTTCAGGTCTCCTCGTGACATACTTGCAGATATTAAAGAAATATATGGGCAGAGAAATAAATGGCTTTCCAGAACAGTGATGAAAGAGCTAGAGATACTATTCAAGGATACAGCCTCTGGTTTCTCTGCCTGGACAAGGAGTGGTGTTCCTGGTGTTGAATATGGCTGAAGAGCCAGGAGGACCAAGTCAGTTCTGTGTGGTCTCTTGCTTCTGTTATGTGCTGTCGCCTTCACTACACAATGCAGGAGCATACAGCGTGTGCATCTATATTTTAGAGTAAGGGCTTCCTGCCGATCCATACCCTACCAACAATTCTTCATTATTGGTCTCTTACTGTCAAATACAATGAGAGAAATCTATCTCATAATCATGAAAGCAGGGGCAGAAAATGCAATAAAAAACTACAAGAAAAAAATTAATAGTAGGGAGAGGGCATGAAAACCTGATCAAACCAGCAAAATAAGGAAAACGAAAAAGAAGTAAAAACAATGTGCAGGAAATAAAGTATATACAGAAAACTATACAGTTGTACTAGAAAACCTAAAACAAGAACCAAACAGATAAAAAGGCATACCATGTTCTTGAACAAGAAGACTATATCATAAAAAATGTCAATTCCATACACCGAATATGATTTAATTTAGAATCCCAATGGGATTTTCTTTGGCGGACGGGGTGAGAATGGGTAACATGATCTTGGAGCATGTTGGTGACAGTAGGAATCTATCCTAGATGGACAAAATGAGTATGTACACAATGAGAGGGTTTGTTATAGCAGCATTTGCTGTGGGAAAAGAACTGGACACCAAGTGTGACCTCTCTCAACAAGAGGTTAGGTGAACATGTACAGTACGTTGCCACTGTGCACTTCTAGACAGCCACTGAAAACCAGGCAATAAAGGGGTCTGTGGGGGGGCGCCTGGGTGGCTCAGTCGTTAGGCATCTGCCTTCGGCTCAGGTCATGATCCCAGGGTCCTGGGATTGAGCCCCACATCGGGCTCCCTGCTCAGCGGGAAGCCTGCTTCTCCCTCTCCCACTCCCCCTGCTTGTGGTCCCTCTCTCACTGTCTCTCTCTCTCTCTCTAATAAATAAATAATCTTTACAAAAAAAAAAGATAAAGGGGTCTGTGGTGTGTGTCTATCTCTTGGTGAGCAAGGGAAACAGTGTATCAGGGTGATTAAGATGAATGACAGGTAGGGAAGAGAAGAGTGATGAGAGGTGTAGGGCTGAAGACAAGAAAGGAACAAAATCCAGCCGACGCGAACGGCATGTATAAAATTTCATTCTTGCCTTCACGGACATGCACGTGTGTATACACAATAGAAAATAGACATTTTAGAAGTACACATCTTTTGTTTCAAACTTCTATAAGTAACATCTCTCAACCAATTCAGAGACACTAATTCAAAATAATGAGATGTATTTCAGTGAATTAACTTTAGTAATTTGGAAGGAAATTTTTAAAAATGATACGGAGTGTACATTTATAAGAACTATATTGTTTATGTTTGCTACAAGATTTTCGACATTTACCTAAATCTAGGAAACCAAACTAATGTTTAGGCCTGTGAGTTCTCAAACTTGAGCTTGTATCAGAGTCACCTGAGGGCTTGGCGAAAAGACAGACTGCCAGAAGCCCAGTGCCCCCCTCCCTCCAGGATTCTGGGTCAAGAGGTCTGCAGCAGGACTCAAGAATTTGCATTTCTAACAAGTTCCCAGGAGAGGCTGATGCTGTTGTCCTGGGAACCACACATTGAGAACCAATGGTCTAAAGCAAGCTAATGTCCAAAAGAGAAAAAATGACCCACTAAACGCCATAGTCATACTTACATTTAAGCCAGCTTTCCTCCAATAATAGTTGCTATATTGGTTAACCATGCACTTTGTTTTTTCTTTAAACTTTTCTTCTGAGTCAGTAGACCACCAAGGATCCAGGTTTCCATTTTTATCATATTTTCTACCTAGTGAAAAGGAAAGTTAAAAGACATTTGTACTACCTGTGTTCTCTTCTAGGATTTTTATGGTTTTAGGTCTCACATTGAGGTCTTTCATCCATTTTGAATTCATTTTTGTGTAGGGTGTCAGAAAGTGATCCAGTTTCATTCCTTTGCATGTAGCTGTCTGGTTTTCCCAGCAGCATTCGTTGAAGAGACTATTTCCCACTGGATATTCTTTCCTGCTTTGTCAAAGATTAACTGACCATATATTTGTGGGCTCATTTCCGGGTTTTCTATTCTTTCCATTAATTTATGTGTCTATTTCTGTGCCAGAACCATACTATTTTGATAACTAGAGCTTTGTAATAGAGCTTGAAGTCTGGAATTGTGATGCCTTCTGCTTTGCTTTTCTTTTTCAAGATTGCTTTGGCTATCCGGGGTCTTCTGTGGTTCCATACAAATTTTAGGGCTGTTTGCCCTAGCTCTGTGAAAAATACTGGTGGTATTTTGATAGCGATTGCATCATTTTTCCAAAGAAGACATCCAGATGGCCAACACACATGAAAAGATGCTCAACATCACTCATCATCAGGGAAATGCAAATCAAAACTACAGTGAGGTATCACCTCACACGTGTCAGAATGTCTACTATCAAAAAGACAAGAGATAACAAATGTTGAAGAGGATGTGGAGAAAGGGGAACCCTCTTGCACTGTTGGTGGGAATGCAAACGGGTGCAGCCCCTGTGGAAAACAGTATGGAGGTTCCACAAAAAGCTAAAAATAGGAACAGGTTCCACAAAAAGTTAAAAATAGAACTACCCTATGACCCAGCAATTGTACTACTGGATATTTATCCAAATGATACAAAAATACTGATTTGAAGGGCTGCATGCATCCTGATGTTTATAGCAGCATTATCTACAACTACCATATCATGGAAACAGCCCAAGTGTCCACCGACAGATAAATGGATAAAGAAAAAGTGGTATATATAGAGACAGTGGAATATTATTCAGCCATAAAAAGGAATAAATGTTGCCATTTGCAACGACAGGGATGGAGCTAGAGAGTATAATGCTAAGTGAAATCAGTCAGAGAAAGACAAATACCGTATGATTTCACTCATATGTGGAATTTAAGAAACAAAACAAATGAGCAAAGGGGAAAAAAAGAGAGAGAAGCAAACCAAGAAACAGACTCTTAACTCTAGAGAGCAATCTAATGGTTGGTTACCAGAGAGGGGGTGGGGGGGGAATATGGGTGAAATAGGTGATGGGGATTAAGGAGGGCACTTGTCCTGATGAGCACCGGGTGATATATGGAAGTGTCGAATCACCATATTGTACACCTGAAACTGATATTACACTGTATGTTCACTAACTAGAATTTAAATAAGAACTTAAAAAAGAAATTTGTACTGTTTGTGGAAACTAATTTCTTCATTTTCCCTTTCCCTCAATTCAACAGACCTTGAAAAAGCAGTCCCAGTAGCAAGGGTCATTCCTGGGAGCAGCTCCCACCTTCTCTCCAATGTCACAGGTTAATTGTAAAAAGGTATTTTAAAAATAAGGTTCATCAACTTATGGCATGCACACCGTGAACCAATCTTGAATTCTTTGTTTTCACCTGATGTGACCCATAATGTTCTCTGGATTATGAAATGAAACGGCTTCATTCAGAAAGCCCATGGAGGGAGCTGGAGCGTCACTACCAGTGAAATTCCAAACGATCCATAGGCACAGCCCAGTGAGTCATTCACACCGATCCATAGGCACAGCCGAGTGAGTCATTCACACCGTGAGACCACAGCCCCTGACTCAGCCCTATAGGAACGTGTTTCCTCCAAGTTGCTAGGAGCTGAGAGGCACATAAAACCTCTGTTATGAATCATTCCACAGCCATCAGTGTGCATGGAAGGCCCATCTGTCCTGCTTTGACAAGGCAGGTGGCTCTAAAAAGAGAACTTGGAACAAGAATGGAAATCTCCAAAACATAATGGAAAAAAAGATTAATTATACATGGTAGTTTGTTTTTTGTTTTTTGCTACAGGCTCACACTTCGTTTTGTCTACACCCTTCAAAAAAAGTTTGAGTAGATCTGGACTATCGTCCATACTCAAGATTACTATTGGTTTAAATTTAATTACGCAAAGAACTCTTCCTTGGACTTACAAAAAAGTCCCCGAAGCAAAGGTGTTAAATGAAATAATCCAAAGCTCTTTGGCAAGGGTAGATGCCACTACCACCACCCCCTAGGAGAGCATGGAGTCACTGTCCTCTATACACTATCCCACCAATCATTAAACAGTTACTGGGCATGTAGTTAACTCTGTAACTCTCTGTTCTAACTATTGGTTACAGAATGAAATTGCCATCATTAGATTATGTCCTTTGAGAATGAATGGCTCCAGAAGGCCTCCAAAAGATTCAGGGGGAGAACTGTACCTAAATTTCCCAGGAAGAAAGGCCCAGAACCAAGAGATCACTACTGGGTTATGTTTCTTAGCTAAGACTCTCCTCTTAGATAAAGCGAACATGCAAAGACAGAAAGTGTAGCTCTGGAGATTGAGATGACTATAAGGCAGCTACATTTTTAATAGGGAGGGGAGAAATCAGAGGAGCAGAAACCCTAGGTGATTCAGGAAGGGCTGGGGGGAGCACAGGAAGAACTGTCCAGAAGGAGAAGAACCAAGAGTTTCTGGCCCTGGAGTAGGCATCCAGGAAAGGATGTTGGAGACACCACCGACATGGAAGAAAAAGGTCCTCCTATACAATGTTGCCTTGTGCCAGCCAGCTCCTTGAATCTGCCCGTAAATCATTGTGCAGATGTGCATATGATTGTAATTTGCTGCTAATTCATAAATTTTAGAGATTTCATGTGGCTTTCCAATAACGCTCAAAGGTAAAGGAGAAAGGAGTGCCAATCAAAAATGATGATGACTCTCAAAGGGTGCTAATTTCAGGAGTTTATGTCATATTCTGCTCTTGTGCTTAAATATCATCAAGATACATATTCTTCTATATTATACATTATTAGGAAAGCATAGCCTTTTAACAAAATTCTGAATATATGCCAGCATAGAGAAAAACAGAGCTTAAGCATTGCATAATCCTTGCAATAGTATAAAGGGATCAGGCAGCCAAGCTCCAGAGTCCTAACTGGCTGAGTCCTAACTTGGCAGCATGTATAATCATCTTGGGAGCAGAGCTCCCACCTCCAGGGAGAGCATCTCAAGATGGTGAATAAAGAAATGACAAAGGGGGAGAAGCTATGAAGCAGTTTCTGGAACTATCGTGGCAGCTACAGCAAGCCTGATCTAAATGCAAAGTTAATTTCATTGAAATTACAAGGTCTTTTTTTTTTTTTCATGCTATCTCGTCACCAACGGGAACAATTACTTATTTATGGCAAGCTATCACAGCAAGACATGGGGGAAAGTTTTCAATCAGCAATCATACTGCTTTGGATAATCTTCAGTCTATGATGATGCCACTATGCAAAGATAATAGCAACAATTAACATCCATATCATCAACATTATCATAAAAAGCAGCAGCTCATACAATGAACCGGTACTTACCATTATTATCAAATCCATGTGTAAATTCATGTCCAACAATTACTCCTATAGCTCCATAACTCAGAGATCTATGGTACAAATATATAATTTGGAGAAAATTACAAGCATTAATCTCAAAGCATAATCCTTTGATTTTTTTTTTCAATGAAAGCCAAGATAATCTGTTTTCTAGTAACCACAATAACAACTTAATAACCGTACCCACAAAATTGTAAAAAAAAAAAAAAAATCTAAACACATCCTTCTCACTGAAATGCACAAAGAAAACTATGACCCTGTACAACATTAGGGATACGAAAGAAATGGTTTCTAAAGTCCCTTCCAGCCCTAAGGCTTCTATGATTCTGTATCTGCTCCAGCTCGTTTGTATCCATGAACACATAAAGCAGCAGCAGGCTTTGAAAAGATCCTGTCAGTAAACATACCATTTATTTTTTTATGAGAACCTGTTGAAAAATCACTCTAGACTTAGAAGTTGTTTCCCAAATGTAATCATAAAAAAGGAACAGAGCAGAAATTCAAAGAGATCACTGCTTTCAAAGGGAGTCACGTTCCCTTGCTTCTGTGACAGACAAGGTCAGGAGTGAATGGCAAGGATCCTGAAGCCTTAACCAGAGTTGGAAACTGCAGAATCGTGAGCCAATAGTGGTGGTTTGGAAGTGCTTGAGTGGTGGTTAGGTAGCAATACATAACTGAAACAGTATGTTAATGATAAATGAAGAAATCCATAAGGAGGCTTCTGGATGTGTGTGTGGGTCTGGGACCTTCTCTCCCAACTACAAGTTCCATGAAGGCCAAACCCTTATCTACTTGGTCACTGCTAAATGTTCTGTAACTAGGACACAGTAAGAAAGTCACAGTGATTTAACTCATTGGTTAATTAACTTTACCATTTCACGCAAGTGACAGGTCTACATGTAACTTATTTTAGTGATTTAACATGTGGATGAGGATTAAAGACGATTTAAAATCCTTGTTATAAGGATTCTTCCTGAGATTTGCAATTATGCTAAAAATATTTCGCAGTTGGCTCCTGACAAGCGACATCAAAGTCACCCAGCAAATGGAAAGGACCCATAAGTGGAAAGAACAAAAATTTTTGAGGCAACATGTTATTACAGGACATAATGATCCTTAACATGCTAATTGTTTGTCTCAACTATACCCAAGGAAGTGCTATGAGATTTAATTTTTCCCCTCAGTGGCAATTCTTTCCTTTGTTATTTCTTTCCTGCAAGGTAATTTGCATTTGAAAAAATGCTTCCTACTGTTTTTACATCATTGCAAACCTTCATTAAGGAAGTAAGAGTAAAATTATGCATTTCAATCATGGAGCTCCCCTGGCAGTGTGGGACAAACGTAATTTTACAGAGTGCTAGTTTCTGCAGCAGGCGCTGCACTATGCAGCCTGTAACCTTGTGGTTTTTTGTGCCTCTCAGCCCTGAGCACAGTATGCAGGCCTCTACAACCCCTGGTCAATGCTGGTGACTGAATGGGTTTAAGGGATGAACAATGGAAGCTCATAGGAACTGCTCTGCAATCAATGTCCCTTAAGAGGAACTGCTCCGATGAGCTTCCTATTTGCGAAGGGTAATAAAGAATTCAGAAAATGACTGAATCACTGTAAGTTCCAATTCTCAGTCACATAATCGTGATCCTTTGGACGGGAGACAAGAAAAAGTAATTTTTATATGACTGAGCCTTCCAATGATAATGTTTCAGAATGCTGAAGTCCCATCTTCCATTTCATCAATGGACATTATTAAATGAGCATGCCATAAAAATAAATAAATAAACTCAAATGCCTTTTAAAATGGGACTGGCTGGCCAGAAACAAGAAGACTGCTGCAGAGAAAAATCGAGTCTTCCAAAAACGAAATGGAAAAAATGACCATTTTTCCACCTATTCAGTTTCTCTCATGTTCTTACTACCCACCCCATGGGTTTAACATGTGCCCTGGATTCTGCTGTCAACAAGAGGACGGCCAGGCCGCTGTGCAGCAACCATGATCTCACGCTGTCATCAAGTAAGGGCTACTCTGTGCCTGAATCAGAAACTCATCAAAATCTCTGATTTGAAAGCAGCTTTCAGGTTATCTACTTCGACTCCTTGGCAGAGGCATGGGCCTCCTCCACAAAAACCCATTCCAATAGTCATAGGACTTCTGGGATTTCTAATAACCAGGAGCTCATGAGGGGGACCGGTCCCTCTTCAGGTGGTTCTAAATAAAACAGCTCTCCCTAACACTGATCCGCGATCTCTTTCCTACATCTTCTATCTATTGGTCTTGTATAGTCTCTAGCCAAATACCCTCTGACCCCCCTGAATACAGTAAATTGTCTGCCACCTTAACTCTCCTTCAAAAATGTGAAGACACTTACAAGGTTCCCCTTCAAGTGTCCTCAAGTTCTTTAAATTGTTCTTCTTCAGCCATGAATTCTAAACCAGCATTTCCCAAAACAAAGGCAAAGGGAGAGCTTAGGAACCTCTGGGTTAAACACATTTAAATAGGTTTCTTTCTTACAGAACTTCTTGGAAATTCTTATGCTGCTGAATATTGTAATTCTCCAAAACAAAAGGGAGGGTGACTTACCTCTATTACTACTTCATGGAACACACACTTTGGGGTGTTGTCTTAGGCTACTTACAATCCTGAATCTTTCCTCTAGAAACAATTTAGCTTGTTGATGTCCCCAGAACTAGACCCAACATTCAGGGAAGGACTAAGTTGACCAGAGTGAACATAATGGATACCCACTTGCTGGGTCTGGAGGCTAGCTATCCAAAACAGATGTATGGGAAGCCAGCTGACCAGACTGTGATTCCCATGTCTCCAACATCTCCATCTTTCCAACACCAAGTACCCAAAAGATGCTTAATAATTATTCATTGAGCAGATATCGTAATAGAGGATGGAAGGCTTCGGTGAGGACATAGAACTCTAGGAAAAAAATACAAATCTCTCTCCTACTCAAGTATCAAATATGGCTCAGCCTAAAGCTTAAACTCACAGACACTAATATTATTTCCTAGGTTTCTATGATTTTGACTTTTAGATCAGAAAATCATGCTCATGGACCCAATAAACAAATTCACTGAATCAGTAACTTCAAAACCTAACCAGACTACTTCCAAGTCTCTAGATATATAACCACAATAACAGAAGCTCAGTTGAGCTGCTAAAGATAAGCAGAATCAAAGAATTCTAGGACATTTTTAGTTTGAAGGAAATTTAGAGAATATTTAGCCTAGACTTTTATTTTTATAGAAATATGTGTAAGTTTTTAATTTGAATAATAGGGAAAAATCAATTCCAAATATCTGAACACTAATAAAAACTATGCAGCTGAGGCCTGGGATGATAGTAAGGAATTTGGTTAATGCAAACGAAGAATTTTCATTTATGCTAATGGAGTGCTTCCCTAAGGTAAGCTTTACTGATGCCTGCTCCTGGTCCCCTCGGCACTCACCATTTTTGAGCACACCAATACAACAGCTTCCAACTGCCAACACCTGAAACTAGTTGCCTGAGGACTTTTTCTGGGTACCAGAGCCCTCGTGGCCGAGACTGGGCAATGCCAGAGAGTTAATACAGCAGGTGGCAGCCTTCAAATCAATGAGGGAAGGGGAGTTGGATGATCAACACCCAGCAACCTTGCCCCTGAGGTGGGATTACGCTGAAGCATGTTCTACAGTTCCCCAGCAGGACTGAGCCCCAGTTGCTCACAGTGATAACTGGCTTTGAAACACATATGTGGTAGGTAGAATAACGGCCCCCAAAAGATGTCCGCATGCTAACACCCAGAAGCCACGATATGTGATGTTATTACATAGCAAAGGGGAATTAAGGTTGCTAATCAGCTGAACTTAAAATAGGGAGATTATCCTGGATTATCTGGGTGCACCCAATATAATCACAAGGGTCCTTCAAAGTGGAGGAGAAGGCAGAAGAGGAGAGTCAGAAGGAGATGTGACTATGGATCTATGGTCAGAGAAATGCAACTTTGCTAGTTTGGAAGATGGAGGAAGGGGCCGTGAGCCAAGGAATGTGGGCCAACTCTAGAAGCTAGAAAAGGCAAGGAAACAGATTCCTCCCTAGAGCTTCCAGAAAGGAATGCAGCTGTACCAACATCTTGTGTTTACCCCAGTGAGACCCAGGTTGGACTTCTGACCTAAAGAACCATAAGCTAATAAATTCATGTTGTTTTAAGCCACTAAGTTTGTGATAATTATGGTAGCCACAGGAAACTCACACAACACAATTTACTGGCTTCCTTCCCTCCCTGTCTCATGTCTCCATTCCCCTGCTGGTGTTTTCTGCTGTCACCTCCCATAAGAACTCCTTGAACTCGATTCCTTGTCATAGGGTCTGCTTTTGGAGAAGTCCAAATCAAAATACTGCCACCATACTTCTCTTTTATATGTATGTGATCCCATATGTTTTTAACCTATAAAATATTTAAATTGTCATTTATCTAAACCAAAACACAAGACACTAGACTTCTAAAAGCAAGACTAAATTTTCTGTGTATTAAAGAACCAGAGCAAACAAAGGCACATGATAAAAGTGGTGATATTACCAACAATGAATATTATCAGAATTCCCACTATATATGTAAATTCTGAATTACTTAAGTCTACAATCTGTTGGTATTAATGACCTTTAGTATCTCTAACTCCAGAGACTGTCAATTTTTGACCTATTATATCACTACCCAGGTTATATTTCTAAAGACAAATTTGATTATCTTTACTTGTTCAAAAACTTCTATATTTTCTATTGCTTGTTAACATCCAGCCTCCTTACCCAGCACTCGGAGCCCTCCAATATCCAATATCAAACTTCTTTTCTAGATGTCTCTTCCACTACTTCCCTTCATATACGACTTGAACCAGCCAAACTAAAATCTTTGCTATTCTATACACACTTTTCTTTCCTCTTCTCACATTATTTCTTCCATTTCTTCCATGGTGTTCGACCCAATACCATCAACTTAAATCCGAACAATCTTTCAAGGTCCAAATATTTGTACTATGAGTCAATGCACAAGTGAATAAATGCATAAAAATGAAAGCTCCATGTGTAGAAGTTGTCTCTCCTGTCCAGTCATACACCCTGGTAAAAAGAATAGGAAGACAAATACCTAAAATGATGAAAGCGGGAATGGCCCACACCAGGTTCCACGCCCTCCTTGTGCTAAACAACCACTGGCTTTGTTTTTTGTTTTGTTTTGTTTTGATTTTTGTGACTTTATATTCTATTCTCTGCCAAAGCAGCATGTTCTCCCCTACTTGTCAATAACTGGTTTCTTCACTCATTTACTTACCGAGGATATTCTGTTCCCCAAAAAAAGGGCTTCTGGAGCTCTCCTGCTGGAAACCCTGGGAGAAAGACAGACAAAATTGTAAGGGATACAGGAATTGATTCGATGATGAGTACTTGGTTCAAGCTTCAGCCTGGAAGTTTCAAAGGTCCATGTGAAAGGTCCTCTTCATGGAGCTGGGAGTATTCTAAGAGATTCAACTGTTTCTAAAATGATATTAGTTCAGTGGAGTTTGAAATAAGTGTATCACATGAGTTTCAAGGAAACCACTTTGCATGAATATGCTATTGGCATTGTCCAGCCTGCTGTGAACTGGGCTCCTTTATATAGCGCATGCAGGAGGCTTCTGGCTCCAGCAGCTTTCCCTGATACAGAGAGGGCCAGCTACACGGATACACAACCTATGCAGTCAAAGCCCCCCCACCAGGTGCCCCATTTGCACGCAGCATTCTTGATACTTCCTATGAACACAGAACTCCACTAGACCCACAATGTGTGGGAATTCAGTGAGACTCAAAGTGAGTACAAGGGAAGCATGTGACATCTAGGACTGAGTAGAAGGGGCCTCCGGCAGCCCCAAGAGGGCCCTTTCCATTGGAACCAGGATTTGCTTTGATCACCCAAAAAAAGGCAGTGGCATTCTGAGAAACAAGAATGACCAAGGAACCCCATCATATCCTTTCTTACTTGTGTTACTTCTCTGTATTAAACAACCACATACACTGAAAATTATATAGAAGGAAGGGGAAAGACAGGGCGACCCACAGTTCCTTTTCCTTTCAGTCCTCCCTTACTCATCAATAAGCCAGAGGTAGACAGTGTGAGTAGAACGTACATGTATTAAGAAATAACAAAAGCCGCTGGGTTAGTTTTGCGCAGCGTTTCCACTGGCCTGGTAAGAACAAAATACCTATGCATGTATAAGCTACAAAATACAAACTGTATAATTTTGGTGATTCCACACATAAGTCAAAAGCTTTTATATTTTCATTTAAAACTGACATTGCACCATATAAAGATGAACCATAAACTTATGCTGATGACTGAAAATGTTTATTTTTCCTACAACTTAACGATGACATTAAATAGCAAATAAAAAACTGACAAGTCTAGAGAAAGAAAGGCCACGGGAGGCAGGACAAAGCTGCATACATGAGCACCTTTAACTGCACTTTTTCTGGCTTTCTGAACTATTTTCATCTGCCACTGGGCCATACAAATTAAGCAGCTGGCTTTGTGCAGATGAGCAGGAAAAATGCTTTGCTTTGGTATTGCAACTCACCACTAAATCTGGCACCCTGGGCTGATCCTGAGAGCTGCGTTCATAAGTCATAATAATCGGGAATGCAAAGAATAGTAATAGAAGACAAAACAAATGGGGGCGGGGAGCAAGCACGACCTTCTGCAATGTCCCTGCCTGCTCCCCCTTCCCTCTCTCCCTCTCCACATTCTGCCTATCCCCAGCCATGAGAGGATACTACAACACTGGGAGGAGAAGCGAGGACAAGAAAGCAAGTTCTTAGTTTAGAAGTGAAATGTTAATTCCATATACCTATTCTTTATATTTTCTTCATATCAGTTTGAGATTTCAAGGTACAAAAACCTCATTGCAAAACAGAGATGGATCTAGCTAGGAGTTCTCTCTCTTCCTGCTACTTTCATAGAGAGGAAAACGCATGACTTTGAAGGGGCAACATCATATTAATCTTCATCGTTTTCAAAATTGCCTGAGATTTTTTTTTGCATCTTTACATCAATATTCCATCCTTTTTTGGTGATTACTTTTAGTAAGTCATTCGAACTTGGAGAAATATATGCAAATATATATTACATATATATGCAAATCACAGTGTTTATGTGAAAGTCTCGTCTCAGACAATAAATCATCAAAAAGCAATATTTCCTAATAAGAACAATGATCATGAACCAATGGGATCTAATTATGAAATCATTACGGCGCTCCTGCTTGGTACCGTGCCCAGCTGGAAGCATTTCTGTCCACTGCCAACCTCTTTACAGGAAGACATCTGACACCTGCATGCGCCTCTGTTTCTGTGGCTTTTGCTGTCAGGGGCCCCAGACTTGCAGGCCACAGCCATCGCATGCCTCGTCAGCTGTGTCTGCTCAGCCTGTCGGGGCCATGGAACCCTCCACTGCTCAACAAACACAAGAATCTGATGCCCTTAGGGCTGTTTTGCTGAAGTGAATGGCTTCACAGTGTAAGCTGCAGGTTTGAAGGTGCCCACGGGCCACAGTGATAGATCAAAGCCCAACAGGGCCAACTCAGTATCGCATCTCAGGAAGTGGATAAGTTGTATTCAGCAAAGGTAGAAGTTAAAAAATAAATAAACAGAAAGGGAATTATTTTCTCTTCTCTCCCTTTTTAATAGGCTTTTCTTATTTTGTTTTGTTTGCAAATCCATTGTATTTCCTTTCCCCCCCATCTCAGCACTGCGTCACCAGTTTCACACTTTTAAAGCTTTTTTTTTTTAAAGCTCCTTTTCCTATCAGTATATTTATAGGAGGCATCCTCACAATGTAAATGTGTGTATGTATGCATACATGTGCCTGCAGCCATATTACATACGGACACATCATGCATACATACACAGAGATACACATAGGAGAGGAGAGAGGGAGGGAGAGGAAGGAAAAAAATGTAACTATTAGATTGGCAAAAAAATTAGTCAATTTGGTTATAGGTAATACTGGCCAGGGTGTAGGAAGCATGTTGGTTTGAGCGTAAACTGTTCGTTGTAAGCATTTTAATGAGCAACTTAGTCATCTCTTAATGCTTCAAATGCCACTTCTAAAAAATGAGTAACTATGTGTTGACATGGAAAAAATATCTAAAAGATATTAAGTGGAAAAAAATATTAAGTGAAAAACCAGCATTCAGTCGTGTATGTGGTCCTTTTCTGCATAACATATGTTAAACATATGTATAGGTACATACAGTCAGTTCTGCTATAACACTTATATTTAAAAGGCAAATTTGCTCTAAGGTGATTGATACACTGGGGAAAAAATTGGGGGTTAACTCCAATTTCATGTTTGCTTATGTTTAATTTCGTCCTCAAGAAACGCTAAGTGAAAGCAAAAAATGCACCAAATGAACTGAGCCACACAGGAATACACAAAATTCACACATCCCAACATGGACCAGTTAGTTACCTCAGCTTGCCACATGCGTTAGAAGCCACAGACACCCACACCTGGTGTTAAAATTTTCCTTCCAACTTCAGATCACCCTCCTTCAACCACGACACAGTAACTCACAAGCTGCAAGTCCTCCAACACCCACTTCCACAAACTTCAGGCCTTTCCAGGGGAAAATGCCATATTTACTGTAGTATTTATGTATTCACTCATTTAACATGTGTAAGACTGCTATCATTTTTTCAAAGATTTTATTTATTTTTAGAGAGAGAGAGAGCAAGCGATGGTGCAAGCAGGGGGCGGGACAGAGGGAGAGGAAGAGGGAAAGCAGCAGACTGCCCACTGAGTGCAGAGCCTGATGCGGGGCTTGATCTCACCATCTCACGACCCTGAGATCATGACCTGAGCCGAAATCAAGAGTCGGATGCTTAACCAACTGAGCCACCTAGGCACCCCTGTGCTATCATTTTTATTAGGTTCCTGGCTTTTGTTTTCATGTGTCATTGATAATGTTTTTGATTGTTGTGTCCCTAATCCCATTTTTCCCATAAGCCTGTGGCTTTTATTGCACAATTTTGCATAACACAGTGATGTTTAGGAACACGTATGTCGCGTTATAGCAGAACTATATATGTACATGTGGGCATCTACGTGTATATGAACACATATATATTCCTGCCAGTGGTCCTCAAATTTTATCAGGCATCAGAATGACCTAGAGGGCTTATTGGAACAGATTGCTGGGGTTCCTGGGTGGCTCAGTTGGTTAAGCGACTGCCTTCGGCTCAGGTCATGATCCTGGAGTCCCGGGATTGAGTCCCGCATCGGGCTCCCTGCTTGGCGGGGAGGCTGCTTCTCTCTCTGACCCTCCCCCTTCTCATGTCCTCTCTCTCTCTCATTCTCGCTCTCTCAAATAAATAAATAAATCTTTAAAAAAAAAAAAAAAAAAAAGGAACAGATTGCCAGCCCCACCCTCAGAGTTTCTGAGTGAATATGTCCGGAGAGGAGGCTAAGAATTTTGTGCCTTTAACAAGTTCCCTTGTGATGCTGAAGCGGCTGGTCTAGGAGCCACACTTCAAAAGCCGCTGCCCAGGGGCGCCTGGGTGGCTCAGATGGTTAAGCGTCTGCCTTGGGCTCAGGTCACGATCTCAGGGTCTTGGGATCGAGCGCCGTGTCGGGCTCCCTGCTCCGCAGGGAGTCTGCTTCTCCCTCTTCCTCTGCCTCTCCCCACTGCTCCTGCTCTCTGTCTCTGTCTCAAATGAACAAATAAAAAATTCTTAAAAAAAAAAAAAAAAAAAGAGCCGCTGCCCAGACACTCATTCATGTGTACTGTGGAGTCATGGCTAATTATGTTCATTGCTGCATCGCAATAATTGAGAAAAGTGTGCCGCAAACCAGATGTCCAAAAGGAGAAAAATGACTTAATTATGACATAACCATACTATGGACTGCTCTGCAGCAAATGAAAAGAAAGAGGTAGGTCTTAATATTCTAGCATGAAAAAATCTCCCAAGACATGTTGTTGGAATAAAGCAAGGCATAGATAGATATATAAACACCATTTCTATTTTTTAAATAAGTTCATGAACGCAAATGCACAGAAAAGGTCTGTAAAATACGTATCAAAGGGATCAGAGTGGCTGCTTCTTGGAGCTAACGGGAACTAGGAGGTGATGACTGGTTAAAGGGATTTTGGACATAGATGTAATGTTGTAAATTTTAACTAGTCAAAGGTAACCAACCTGTGTAATGAAAATTAACTCTTAGAAATAAATGTGTAAAAAAAAAAAAAGAAAGAAAGAAAAATGTGTATCGGGGCACCTGAGTGGCTCAGTTGGTTAAGCGTCTGCCTTCGGCTTAGGTCATGATCTCAGGGTCCTGGGATCAAGCCCTGCGTCC